TGTCTGTGTCCCTGGCACTCTGCCCCGGCTTGGATGTCACCTCTTCGTCAAAGCCAAGGCAGAGGAAGGGAGCGTCTACTGCAGTGCCAACTCCCAGGGCCCCGTGCACCACCGGATCCAGGAGAGAACTGCCCACAGCATCCACGACTCCTCTCCCTCTGGTGAAAGCATGCACTAGTCACATTTGCCTGCTGTCCTTGTGTCTCATCTGCAGATTCAGTGCTTAGCAGGTCCTGTGCCACCAAAAGAATTTCACCAGTGTGTGACAGTCTGGTGGGCTACACTGAGTACACACAGACCACAGGCTTCAGAATGGGAGATGAGTGTCGTTCTTTCTGCTCATGGTGCCTTTTAGCCGACTAGTTAGAATTTATCTGAGAAAATAGTACCTGCTTCATGTGTCCTGCTTGAGACGTGACATGGTGTTCCTTCCCACTGAGCTCCAAGCTCTTAGGGGTGTGGTCGTAGCTTTCTACACACTTTTCATTCAGCACCTGGTGGTGCCCACGTGTGACACATCCGGGACACTGAAGAAAGCGGGATGACCATGCATTGGCAGCATCTTTCTTAGGAAGAGAGACTGCAGTCTCCATGATTCATGGAGCTAGATGTCTTTGGAAAGGTGACCTCAGTGGCCTGAAGTTCCAAAATTAGCTTGTAGATGAGCAAGGGTTTATAGCCCACATGTCTTTTCTGTCTCCTCAGTGGACATAAAGTATCACTGGTCACTAAAGTTCATCATACTAGAATAAAATGCAGTGGGCAGAGGAACATGGATATCAGCATAATGAGCCAGAGTGTGACCCTGTGGTCACAAACCCAGACCAGCACCCAAGAATCACATTCCAGTCCTGCCGCTCTGCACAGCCGAGGTCCTCTGAAACGTGGTGTGCACATTCTCCACTGCGCAGCCTTGGCCTTGCAGCCCCGCATGCTGGGATGACGCCCCCTCAGCGTCCGTATGTCTGTCCGTCTGTGTCCCTCCAAGCCCTCACTGAAGGAGCCTGCTGCCGGGCTCTCCCTTGGCTCTCCCTTCTTTGCCTTCGTGTCTGCACATACCCCTCCCTTTGTGTCCTGGCTCTAGAACCCACCCCGCCTTGAGTACCGAAATCCAGGGACGCTCTAGTCCTTCCCGTGGAACAGCGCCGTCTCTGCATGGAGCCTGCGCACGCTGCCTACTCGCAGTCATCTGAGACGTGACTGCTGTGCACCCACACCTTCGAAGCAGGTGGTTGTTACGCTGAAGAATGGCGAGAAAGAGTCTGACCTTGTTCAGCATGGATGCAGTTTTCTGAGTACTGTCCGTCTTCTGGTGGTTAAATTTATGGGTGCAGAGCCTGTGGTGACAGCAGCCCAAGTGTGCTTGCTGGCCCATGCTACTGCAACCAGGTGCCACCAGGCCGGACTTCAGTTGCAGGGATTTGACAGAGCGGATACTGCTCACTGTCAGATTTCCAGCATTTCACCACAGGAAATTCCTCAGCCCATTAACCCCGAGTCTGGAAGGTGTCTGAAGAGTGGGCTGTGCCCGGGTGGAGGGAGCGGGGTTGAAGTTACGGGCTTCAGGACCGAGGAGAGCACCGAGTTTCCTGGGCAGGGACACTGCCTGGAGCCGGCTCCACCCCGCCGGCTCCACCCCGGCCCCAGTTCTGCTCTTCAGCGAGTTAAAAGTGTCACAACATAAAGACTGTGGTGTATGTCTCACTTTAAACTGGAGGACAAAGGGTTTTTAGACAGTATAAAACTCACACACCCCCTAGTACGTAGGTGCTACATAAAACACACAGGCACCGATACTGGTAAATTGTGGTCCAGCTGTAAGCTAAGCTCTTGGGTTTTCTGCCTCCTGGGCTGTCTGCCTGTCCCTCTCGAAAGACCCAGTGCCCGCCTGGCTGCTCCAGCGGGAACCTCGTGGTGTGCACATAGCCTTGTAGCCTGGGATTGGATGCAGGAATACTCACAGCCACTTCACTGCAGGAACAGCGTCGCGGGCCGCTCCCCGAGGGGCGTCGCTGGTCTGTGCACCTGCGCTGCGCTCCAGCCTGTGGGCCTGGGTCCCTTACAGCAGAGTTCCACTCGCGGCTGCGCTGGCCTTTGACCTTTCTGCCTTGACTTGCGGGCTGAGGAGGAGCCCAGTTCCTCTCCCTCCTTGGGGACGCGCTTCTTCCCCGTGCCTTTTCCACCACCACTGATCCCTTGAAACCGTTATTTGTTTCGAGGGTGAGGGGTGAAGAAGTTATTTCCTTTCCTACTCATACAGGTAAAATCTCTTAAGAAATACAAACTTCTCTTCCTTTTCCAAGGCTGTGCACTTCATACATAGATGTTGCTCATGTCAGGCTTACGTAGGAAGCCTGAGTTTTTTTACATGTCCTACTAGAAATGCGGTCTTCTGGTTGAAAGTGTCCTTTGCATTTATTCTTAGTATTCACTGCTGTGTCTTTAGAATTACACTGACTACTTTGGACGTCTCTCTATTAGTAATGCTTAGTCTAATGGCTCTTACCAGGAAATGGTTTCCTATAAGGGTCAGAGTGGGAGTTGAGTTAGAACAGAATGTCACTGAGCACATGACCTCGGCTCACTGGAGTCCCATTTTTGGCCTTTTAGTCAGCACTCTGCCCATTTTTCTGCTACACTGAACAGTTTTAAAACTAGAAAAGGAACCTCCCAGTTCCAGCCGTCCTTGCTAGGACGTTAGGAGAACCCAGACTTCTCTGATGCTTGTCCTTCAGCACTGGCAGGACCTGGCTATCACCAGACGGGAACTGTTGAATTTCTCACTCTTGGTTCCGGAGCACATCATTGGCTGGCTGCTATGCTCATACTCTCAGGGGCCACCATACCTGCTCGGTGTTAGGAGTGTGGGCTTGTCAGGAGACAGGAGCTGGTCCTCCACCAGGTACATGTGAGGAGCCAGACCTGAGACAGTGGACAGGGACCGCGGACTGGAGCCACAGTGCGGAAGGGCAGCAGGCCAGGAGACGCCTGTGGACCGGAAGTTAGGTGCTCTGGTCTCCGAATTTGTTTATTTCACTTTTGCTTATGTAGGCTCCTTGTGTCCTCAGCCCTGCCTCCCGCGTACGGCTTCTTCCTGCAGTGTCCTTTTGCTCAGAAAGAATTGGTTTCTTTTAGCCTTCTCAGCTTCACCATTGGCGTAGAATTGACAACACCTGAACCTGTGTATCTGCAGCCTCAAGAGAAACGCAGTGCACGTGTTTGTGCATGAGAGTCAAAGGCTGGTTGTATATTTAGAGTCTGTCAAGGCCAGTTCCAGACGTTGATTGCAGTCGGTGGCCTTGACCGCAGCTTTCCTGAGTCGCCAGGAACACAGCCGGCGTTCCGAGAGAGGAGCCTGCCAGTGCCGTTCCTATTCGCACCGGGAATCTTACTGAGGGTGCAGAAGCTTGCCTGGCTGTGTCCAGGAGATGTTCTTCACTTCCACTCTGCACGGGAGTCCCGTTGTGGAGTCACAGTAAAGCCAGTTTGCTGTTACGTTTTTGGTTGCATGTGACGTGGCAAAAGCTGTGGGCAGCCTGTGAGTTCCACAGGGGCTGTCACCTGCACACTGCTCTGACCTCCCGCAACCCATGGTCACGCCAGCAGGTGCTGGAACAGGGTTTGGGTCACAGCAGTGTGACCCCAGAACCTGAGCCCAAGAGTCTTGTGGGTGCTGGGGTGGGCAGTGTTCATGAATCCTGAGCCTCGAATCTGAAATCTTTTATTTTGTACGGTTTTCAGTGTACGTTAGAACCAGATTCAATATGGTTTTGTGAAAAGCTTTTCCTCACAGAGAATCTTCAAGATCAAAATAGTTTTTCTGTGTAATAATTGGACTTCTAACTGTGGAAGTACTTTAAGACGCTGTGGTGGATATTCAACATACCTTTTACAGATCATACCCCTCCCTTTCCCCTGCGCTACTGGGAACTGCACTGAAGGCCTTTGCACTGAAGTACATCATCGCAGCTATTTCTTTGGTTATTTTTGAGACAGGGTTGCACTCAGTCATCCAGGCTAAGCTCAGACTTGTGATCCTCTTGCCTCAGCTTCCTGGTGTACTGGGATTACAGGTGTGCATCAGTGCACCTGGCTAAAATTCTCCTTTGTTAGATATTCTTCTCTCCTCTGTAATTTCTGCTGTTGTTCATATATGGGTAAAGAAATGGAAGGTCTTACCTAAAGTTTCATTTTAAGGCCAACTGACCCAGAGTTAATAGAGCGCATACAACAGTAGAAATGAAACACGGTGAAAGAAAAGTCTTAATTTAACCTTGTTAAAAATTATTTTGAAGAGAATAGTTATAAAAAAAAAAAAGGAACAATAGTAAAATACAAACAAACAAAGCAAGGACAAACCAAATGATGGGGATTATAACAGTGGTTGCTATATTACATACTGTTATCTTTAGTGAAGTAGCTCGGATTACCAGATGACAATATGAAAGGGAAAGAAATGGCTCAAAGGAAGGAACAACTGGGATGAGGGAGAGGAGAGAAAGAAAATACTAAGGCATCTTATATATATATATAATCTGTCATCACTGTACTGCTGATGTCTGGTGGTTTATTGAGGGGAACACTTAATGATTAAAATTTTTTAATATATTTTGACCAGTTTTGCATGCTTATATCTGGTAATCTGAGCAACTTATGTGAAGGCAACAGTTTGCAGTATAGCAACCATTGGTGCATTCCTACAATCCTGTCTAGTGAAACTATGTAATGTCTCTAATGTTCTTTCAAATTATTATTTTCTTATTCCCTTTAATGGTTTGATCAGTCTTCTCTTCTTACATCTGGTAATCTGAGCAACTTCGATGAATGTATCCTTTTTTAAACCTCTACGAGAACAGTGCTCTCACGTCTGGCTTTCAGGAGGAAGCAGACTCGTGGCGTTTACTTTCTGTTTCTCCCCAGCACCCTGAGCCGCAGCAGCGGGCAGGCGCACACCAGCCTATGCTCCCACTAAACGCCTTTCTCCCTCCCACCCCACTCAGGTGTCAGGAACTACTTAAAAGAAGCGCTGGTGAACATAATCGCGGTCCACGCAGAGGTGAGCCAGCACTCAGGTTCCTACTGTGGGTAGCTTGGGGTGGGGTGATTTCTGTAGCGCTCTCCCCCACTTGCCACTGTATCTTGGGTGTGTAGAAAACACGAGTCAGCGTTCTTACCTGTGTGTTTGTGCATGTACAGGGTTTGACTGTGATTCTTTTCTGAAATTGTGTTTTCTCTGATAATTAAAAATAAATTCAGTAAAACGTGACAGGTGAAGAGAAAACAAAATGGAAGTGTATTTCCCATTAAAGAATGTTAAGTCCCTTAGTTTGAAAAATGTGTGGTCTTCTTGTCAGCCAGAACACAGATGAGCTGACTCCTAAGTCTGCTGCTCACGGCTTTGCCAGCAGTTTGGGGTGCTGGGGCCCACACTGATGGGAAGCCAGACAAAATGGGTCAGAGAGAGCACTTCTGGTTAAGATCCTTACCAGCTGTGGTCCAGCATCTCCTCCCCGTGGGCATCCAGAGAGGTGTTGCTAGGTTACCACTGCCTTCCCCTTCCGGCAGCATCTGAGGCCAGCAGGGAAGCTGGAAAGAAAGAGAGAAGGATAGCTAAAGCCCAAACAGAACAGCAGAGTAAAATGAATACAATGCTGCCTGGTTCCTGAATTAGGTCTAAGCATGAAGCAACTCGAGCAAAAAGAATAGTATAATGTGCTGTAGTTTTCATTTCTTAGTAAAGTAGAAACACAGACTTCCCTGTGAAAATAGTCTTTGCATCATTTAACACGGGCAGTTTATCATGGAGCTCCTTTTATACTGAGCAATAATATTGAGTTGTGGTTTATCAAAAATACAAAAATGCTCCTGCTGTGTGGACTTCCTCTAGCATCAACACATCAGGGAACTCGCAAGTGCAGCGCATTTGTGGGGTGGTGGGGAGCAGTGTGGGACATCTGCTATTTCTAACGAGGCAGCGTTCATCATTGTCCATAGTCAGTGACAGTGAATCGTCTGTAAAGAGCAGGAGTTCGGCCTCCTTTGCTTAGCCCAGCGACTGAAAGCAAAATTGTGTCAATAGTTTTTACTCTTCGCCATGTGATTCTCATGACCAAAAATTGTCTTAAATGTTCAAGTTATGTTGGGTTGACCAAAGGAATTAATACTTAAAGGAATTAATGACTCGTTCTCAAAAAAAGGGAAGAACTATAAAGAAAATACGACTATAAATCAGTAAAGTGTTTCGCTAAATTTCCAAACATAACTCAGTTTGAAAGTGGCAGACTGTAAAGTTTGACAGTAATGTGTGTAAGGGAAAAGAAATAGAGTATTCAGTGTGTAGTGGAGCCAAGGCGTGATACAAAACAGTGAAGCCAGCGTGCAGGGGCTGTGTCACACTGTAAGCAGAGGCAGACCCATTGATTTTTGTCTGTTTGTGGGGACTTTTTTAGAGGCAGGTTCTGGCTATGTTGCCCTAGCTGGGCGGGAACCCTTGACCCAAGCGCTCCTCCAGCCTCAGCTTCCCCACTGCATCCAGCTCGGTATTTTTTAAATTGTTGCAGAATATTTATCTTCGAAACGAGTTTTAGTTTATCCACATCAACAATGCCTTTCAAAGTCATATGTGCTAATACCTTATTTTTAAAGAGAATTATTTTGTCGCTAATGTGTTAATACAGTTGAAGTACAAGTCTGTTTTGTAACATGAGTCTTTTAAAATACGACTTAGAAAACCTACAGGCTTCTTCTGCTCCATGTGTCACTTTATCTCCATGAGTTCCAGCCGGAAAAGCGCTCTTGTCGTTGTGGGCCTTTCACCCGCAGGTGTTCACCATTTCCAAAGCGCTGGTGCCGCGGGTGCTGTCCAGGGTGGTGGAGGCCGTGTCTGAGGAGCTGAGCCGGCTGATGCAGTGCGTGTCGTCCTTCAGCAGGCACGGAGCCTTGCAGGTACTGGCGTTGCTGGGCATGGTGAGGATCACTGGCCCCTAGAACGTGTGACCGCACTTCAGCAGCTTCTTGGGGTGCATGGACTCGCAGGAGCCGTGCCCACCGCGCGTGGTCCACAGGGCCCAGCACTTCTCTCTCAGTCTTTACTGTAGAGGAGAGCCTTGAAGACTTGCAGAATTATCTGAATGAAGATTCCTTTCAGGTTTGTGGCTTTCCTTGTTTTACAGTTGTCTTCACTCCATTATACCTAACAGAAAGATATTAGCAGCCTGTTTGGGGGAAGTGTTTACAAAGCCTCCAGCACAGTGTGCACAGAAGTCACAAGGAGTCTTCTTTGTGCTCAAGCTCCATTGACTCAGGTTCTAGTTAGCGCAGGTTCCAGTCACCTCCAGGACTGCCGTAAGCCGGCAGGCATTGGTCTGTGCGTGGAGTCACTGGGGGGCCGGGGCCAGGCCTCGCCGTGTGACCCCTGCCCAGGAGGCTGGCCGGTGGACCGGCTTGGATCCCCTCTCCTCCCAGACGCGGAGCAGAGAGCTCTGCTGCTGCCAGCACTCCAGGAGGTGTCATCCCTCCACAGACAGCACAAACTACTGCATAATGTCTAAAACTTGAACATTTTTAATAAAAAAATAACTGAATCATTGAATAAATGCACAGGCTGCAGAGGAAATGGTACTGGTTGACCTCCCTGCTGCTTGCGGATTTGTGCCTGAGGGCAGGCCCAGGGAGCCAGACGCCCCACCACAGCCCCTCTGTCTTTCTGTCTTGAAGAATAGGCCTCAGCGCAGTGGTATCTGCAGCGGAGTGAGGGACTCGAAATGGGGAGCAGAGGGCTGCGGCCACCTGTCCGCACGCTCACCACGATTGCTGTGGGCCCGACGTGCATATCAGGTCACACTCCGCCCTGCCTGCCCAGCCCGGGCTGGAGCAGCTGGGGTGGAACTGGAATTGAGCCTCAGGGGCCAAGCACTCCAGTCGAGGCCCTACAATTCAATGGCGTGCTAAAACAAAAGTCAACGCTCTCTGGAGGAATATTATAGAATCTGGAATCTTCACAGCATAACATTCACCACAGCTAGGATTCAAATTTGAAATTAATTGAAATTTAATCAAAATAGACAAAAAAGGAAAATATAACCCATTCGTCATATAAAATATAATTGAAACCAACCTTAAGATAACGCAGTTGTTGGTATTTGCAAATACTTTGAAGCAGTATTTGGTGATATGAAGGAGAATATGTTCATAATGAATAAGTAGAGGTGACATCCTAGCAGAGAAATAGATGCCCTAAAGGAGGAACCAGAGGAAATTCTGGAATGGAAATACATGGGTACACGTGAACTTGTAAAAACTGCCTAGATGGGAGTAACCGCAGGATAGAGAGGACAGAAGAAAGAAATCATTTAACTTGTAGGTTAATGGAAATTACCCAGTGTGAACAGCAGAGAGAAGAATGAATGCGAAAAAATAAGCAGAATTCTAGGGACAACCGGGACAATGTCGGTAGGTCTAGCATGTGAAATTAGATTTCCAGACGGTAAGGATGGCCATCTGGCACAGGAGAGATGACCAGGGAAATGAAAATCACGTCTGCAGACACACACCGCTAGATGTGCCGGCCTGCAGGACGGTGCGGTGAGAATGCCAGACGTCAGCCAGCGTGTGGGGAACTGGGCTCTCGCCTCACTGGACACATAAAGTAGTACAGCTGTGGGGAAGGCTCTTACGTTGTTTGCTTTTTCTTTAACTAAAGGTCCATGCAGTCCGTGACCTGGCCTTCCCAGCCCTCAGGATGCTAGAACGGAGGGTGTGGGAGGGGCACAGGCAGGGGTGCTCCACAGTCTTGCTCCCAGTAGCCGCACACCCGAAACTGCCAGTGGGATGAACAACTGGTGCGCCCACACAGCCCAGTGCTGTTCGCGTTAGAGCGGACAAACTGCTGATGACAGTCGGGTGAGGGGAGGAGAGCTTGCATGAAAACTTACCTATACTGTTGGATACAGTGTAGGCTTAGTCTCCGAGGCGGTGCTAGAACAAGGAATGAGTTCGTGATGACCACTGTGGTTCCTGGGGATGCCTGGGACTCCCTGGGGGGCGTGTGAGGGAGCTGCACAGATGGGCAGGCTGCACTGTGGTGTGAGCTCCGCCACGTGGGCGTGAGCATTAGTGAAAACACCACACAATTTACCCATTGGGCAGCAAGCAAACTAAGTTAAAACCATACTGACACAGTAGTGCACGCCAGTGAGTGAGGCGTGAGCTGAGGTGTACCACACGGCAGGATAGTGTGGCGGATCCATATGCAGCCAAGTAAGGGTAGCGGAGACTGAGAGTACAGGGGGCCACTGACAGATTCCTTCAGTCTATACATTTGAGGCTTTTAGAATTAAGTATTGGAGAAAAATTGCAGAGAACAGTTGTTAATTTGGTTAGATTTATTACAGAAACTTCTGCGTTTCCACTTGCCCCAGTTTTAACTAAAAATGTAACTTCGTGTCAGCCCTTTGCTGCCCTAGTAGAAGTTGAAAGGTCGGGATTATTGTCATGGTCCTGTCACGGAGAGCAGTGAGGGTGAATGAACAGGAAGCTGCCAGAGCTGCATTGGGCCGAGACAGAACTGTCTCATCTCCAGGCTCAAGTCTCTCCTAGAGCTGGGCAGGCATTTTGATTTTTGAAAAGCTGGAGGGAGATGAAACTCCCACTTTCAGCATGTCCTGCTGTGTGTAAGGCCATAGTTCCCCTCTCTGGGGCAGGTCCTCTCAAGGGGCTGCAGATTCCTCTCGGAAAGTGCTCTGGTGCTGTGTCTGGAAGCTTCCTCGGAGCCAGTCGGGAGGGAGGGAGAGCGCGGCAGCGGCAGCTGACTGGTTGTGATGGGTCCTGCCTTACGATTACATACGTGTTAGGTAAGTGCCTAGCACTTTCATAATTGGCATAATGTATAGGTAGATTAAAATACCCTTCATGCCGTGTGACCAAAGTTTCTGCCTAATGTACCTACTTTTATAGTGATTTCTTCTGTCCCCTAAAATACTCAACCAGAAGTTGTACCTAGTTTTTCTCTGTGCAGTTCTTCTAGGTCTTTTTATCCACAGCAGAATAGGCACAGTGGAGACAGAACTGGCCACGCATGCTTTTAGTCACCATCTCTTCCGACTGCTAAAGAGAGCTGCAGAAGGAAGCCAGAAAACTGCTTTCCAAACTGAGAAAGTCCTTGGGCTGGACTGAGATAAACAAGCTTTCGGGACTGCTTGCAGAGTCTCACGCTGCTGCCATCCTGCCCCGTCTCACCCTCCTGAGGGCAGGGCTGCGCCCTCTCAGGCCCCGAGCGTCCGTGCCCTCCTCCCCATGGCGCTGTCAGCAGATGTGGCGCCTGGCTGCGGCTCTCGCACTCCCAGCTCCTCTGGACCTCGACACAGGTCACATCTCTTCCCCCATAGGGCCCCGAAACTTCGGGGGGTTTTCTCCTGGAAGGTTGCATCAAGACTCGTCTGTTCTGAAAGTCGCACATCAGGGAGTCACATGAGTATGGCCGGCTGTGATAGGCTTCTTTAACTTAACATGACAGTAGGGTGGAACAGGGTCCATTCTGTGAATTGCCTTCCCTTCTTGATGGTATCTGTCGGTTGCAGTGAGGAAGTGTTTAGTTTTGCTGAAGTCCAGGTTATTATTTCCTTTTGTTGCTTGTACTTCGAGTATTATTTCAACTGCTTATCAAGACCGAGGTCATAGGATTTATTCCTATTTTATAGGATTTTGGATTTTGGTTGTTTTTTTTTGGTTTCATGGTACTGGGCTTGAACCCAGGGCCTTCACACTGACTACGTCCCCAGCCCATACCCCACACCTCTGCTTATTTTTTTGAGACAGAGTCTCACTGCATCACTTAAGTTGCATAGGCTGGACTCAAACTTGCAGTCCTCCTGCCTCAGCCTCCCCACTGATGGGATTACAGGTGTGTGCCACCACACTTGCTTGTAGTTTTCTCTCTCACATCAAAGAGTAGGTCTATTTTGAGTTAATTTTTGTGTTAAGGAGAGCTTACGGCTTCATTCTTTCACATGTGAATGTGCAGTTGTCTCAGCATTATTTGTTGAAGGGAGTCCTCTTTCCCCAGCGGGTGGCCTTGCAGATCCTTTGAGCAGACGCAGCAGCAGCCGCGATGGCTTCTGGACTTCCTTTTCTGTCCTGCTGGTCTATAAATCTGCTTTGTGCCTTTACCACACTGCCTTGATTGGCATAGCTTGGTAGGAAGTTTGAAATCTGAAAGTGTGAGTCCTCCAAATGTGTTACTCTATTTTAAGACTCTTGGCTAGTCTAGGTTCCTTACATTTCTAAACAGATTTTAGGATCAGCTTGTCACTTTCCTCTTAGAAACAGAAGTATGGCTGTGATTTGAGTAGGACTTTCAGTCCATCAGCTTCGTCTGTGTCTGCAAGGGAGGCAGGTGCCCCAGGCAGAGCCTAGGTGTGAGCTGTCTGCCGACCATGGCCACTTCCTTCCTGCGGGCCTGTGTCAGAGCCTCCTCCTGCCCGCGGCTCACGGGCAAGTCGTGGTCAGACAGGAGACCGAGCTGGCTGCTTGCTGATTCTCAGTGGGACTTCCAGCTCCCTGCTGTACACAGTTGGACTTGACTATATATTCACTCGCAGTCAAGGAAGATGTCAGTTGTAGCTGCTTTCTTCAGGCTGTTTTGGGAAGCCTGCTCACAAGTAACAGTCCCCGTGCTGGTGTCACACCAGTCCTTGGGAGCTGTGTAGACTGGACACTTAGTACGCGTGCCTGTTGTCACTCCTGTTCTCTTTTTCAGGCGAGACTTGAAATCTGCGCCTTGAGAGATACTGTGGCTGTTTACCTGACACCAGAAAGCAAGTAAGACCCAGTGTTCTTGTTCCAGGTCCTTTCTCAGGGTAAAGATGTCTCTAGCGGGTGATACGCTTTGTATAGATAAGTGAGCAAGTAAATGCTGATATGTGTGTGTCGTGGTAAAGTGTATATTTGGTCCATGCTTTTAGTTAAGTATGTGCCTGCAGTAAGCCGAGGACTATGAAGGCTGCCTCCTGAAGCACATTACAAAGAAAAGTAGTTTAATAGAACTTTGTTTTCATTCATAAATACGTCTCAAGAATAATATGACATAGCATTGCATATCCCTTTAAAAAGAGAGAAAGAATGAGTCTTAGTCTATTCATAGCAGACTTGAAGGACAGTTGTAAATATCAGTGTTAGAGGAAGACTTGTGGTTTCTCTGCAAAATTTTGTAGTGGAAATTTGATTATAACTTTTAGTTGTTTTGAATGAAAGTCAGGATTTCCTACCATTGAAAATCAGTAGGTGGAGTGAAACAGAACTATTTGCCTATACAAAATTGTTTACCACATTCGCAGTATTACCTAGGAAATCTGGGTTAGGTTGTTAACGTGCCTGGGAAGCCAAGTAATATGCAAATCAAGTGTTTAAGGACGTGAAACCTACTAACTCATTCATCCCCAGCACCTAGTGACATGGCCTATACCATCAGTCTTGCTGTCAGCCTTGCAACTGAAGACTGCTTCTTCTTAATAAATGAAGTTGCTCCTCTTTCCTGTTTGCCATGGCCCACGTGCACTGTTTAACCACACCTTTCAGTCCCTCATTTTTCTGCACAAAGTGCTGTGTAGAAGACGAAAGCCCAGTCCACAGTGTCCACATCTGCCTGGAGTGAGTGCCTGTTTCCCATGAACTAATCCTCCCAGAATCTTAAGCTTTTCATCTGTAAAAGGAAAATAATCCTGGCTGAGTATCCCTTGTTTAAAATGCATGAAACGAGAAGTCCTTTGGATTTCTTTCATGGGGGAGTGGGGGTTGGAATATATGCGTATATGCAATGAAATACTTCAGTAGTGGTCCCAAGTCTAAGTATGAATTGTATTTGTTCATGTACATCATATATACATAACCTGAAGATACTTTTTTTCTGCCATCAATTTTACTCACTTTTTCAGTTCTTCCTTTGTATTAGTGTGTGTTTGCAGTACACAGTGATCACGTTCTGCCTGGGAGTTGGTGCCTTACATAACACATCTCAGTTCCTTTTTTTTCAGCTTCCTGCCTCCTCTTGTTTTAAATGTTACCTTCAATACCTTTGCATTTGCTGTGGAATTTTCTCCCATGGCCTCATGGTGGTGCTCAAAAAAGTTTCAGGATGGAGCAGGTCGGGTTTCAGATTTTCAGATCAGGGCTGCTCAGCCTGCAGTTCCTTCTGGCCAGGTTTTGAGGGCGCTCAACTAAGAAGGTGTCAAGTCACGTGCTAAACGTTTGTGTCGTAGTTAATGGGTAGCATAATCTGCATCGTCATCATTGTCGTTGCCACAGTAAAGAACGGTGGCATTTCTTGGACTGAGAGGAGGTTTGTAAGAAGTGGGATGGTGGAGGAGACCATGGCAGGCATGTCTGCCCTCCTTGGGAGGGAAGAGGCTAGCTGGGTGTGGGTGGGCACTGACTGCCAGCGAGCCCTTCCCCTGCCCCTGCCCGGCCTAGTGAGGACTCCCGCAGCCTTTGTGCTTGAATCTGACTGTACTGGGGCCTGGCGTCCTCTTCCCACGTTGCTGGGATACCTGTCCATACTTTGACATTGCTCAAAAATTAATTTCCTATAGATGAGGAAGGTGTGCTTACAACACAGAGTCAAAGACCACCTTAATATAGCCACATTCCCTCCCTCAGCCATCAGAAATGGAGATGAGAAAAAAGCTCAGAACTGTTCCAGGCTGCTCCTAAGTCATCTCCTCTAACATGCTTTTTCTTTGGTTGAGTGGTTTTTCTGATGCTTTCTGTTTGCCAAAGTTAAACATACCAAATAGGTATGTTTGATTCAGATTCGTTCCTTTTATCTTTCCTTCACATTCATTCCTTTTACCTTTCTCATGTAAAGAAACAATATTGAATTTCCAGATTTATGAAAATATACTTAAATTTGAATATAGAGAGATGTAGATATCCATTTCCCTGCACTGTAAAATACAGTAGTAACCAAGTCCTGTAAGGTGGGATTCATGTATTCCAAGACGCAGCTGTAAATGACATCAGTGCCCTCGTCCCTCCCCGGTGTCGTGAGGTCGTAGGGGCATACCACTGCCTCTGAGTTGCCTTCCTCTCGGACCGGCTGCTTTGTCTATAGCTCAGCTTTGTTCTGAAAAGCAGGGCTTGTTCAGATTGGAGCATGTCCACTCTGCAGAACTGTGTCGGGGTCTGGACCTGGCCCTGCACTGCCACTCTCAGGCAGCCAGAGCCTCACTTTTGCTTTTTCTCTTGGCATTCACTATGATTTTTTTCTTGCACTCCACCTGCTTCCCTGGCCTGTGTTGGATTCTGTACATTTGAGATGTGCTTACGAGTCTCAAATCGCACAGTGACCCTCCATGTGCCCTCAGAACTGGGGTCTGTTTGGGGTGGTATGTCACTGTTGGTTTGTTTGTTTTGTCTTTTTTTGGGCCAGGTCTCGCTATGCAGTTCAGACTGGCCGTGAGCTCACTTTATAGCCGAGGCTGGTCCTGAACTCGCCCAGATCCTTTTGCCTCATTGTTACTGCTTTTTTCCAGGTCCAGTTTCAAACAGGCTTTAGAAGCCCTGCCGCAGCTCGCGAGTGGAGCAGACAAAAAGTAAGTTCTGCGGCCCGTCTGTGGGAGCCAGGGAGGGGCGCTGAACAGACAACGGCCACGGGAGCCGCAGCAGCAATTTCGGGGAAAGGAGAGTCACTATTAGTGTCCTCTAATAGGGCGCTGTTACCTGTGCCTTCCCTGTCCTCCAGGTGATGGCACCAGGGGAAGCCTTTCTTCTAGGTTGGGACTAATTTAGAAATGAGCTCTTTTTGAGTTCTAGGTAACTAGTATAGAAAATATCACAAGAAAGCCTACCTGCCTTATTCAGTGAGCTGTAAAAGAAGGCAACTTAGTAAAACAGGACACAGTGATTTTATTTTCTTTTTAACATGCTGTTATGCACACCTCATCCTCTATAAAATATGAAAAACAGTGGATTTACACACATGCATAATAAAATTGTATATTTCATCACTACCACATTAACAATCTCAACCTGCATTTAAACTCTGCTGCTCATAGGAAAGGAAATTCTAACCTGCGAGGAAGAAATTCTGTCCTCCTGCCCAGTGCGGCTTGCACAGGGCGCCCAGAAGCCCGGGCTCCATGCCAGCACAGGGCACTGTGGGGCCAGTGCGGACCAGGGTCGGTGCAGGGGACTGGCATGTGGCACTGGTGGCTTGGAGGAGGTGTGACCTGCGCAGCCCCTGTGCGTCCTGCATGGGCAGGTGGACGCCATCCCGGCAGCGCGCATTTCCACTTCCTACGTCCCGTGTCTCTCACTGACTTTCAGCCTGTGTCAGAATTCATTCCAAACCATGTTTATTTCTTTAAATATGATGAAACATAAAATAATCACTGTCCTCTCTGACGTGGCTGAAAAGCTGGGGTATTTGAGAATCAGAGCCCTGCCCTAGGACTGTCCTTGAGACCCACTGGGGATCGGGACATGTTCCAGAACTGACCGCTGCCCGGCCGGAGGGGATCTTCTCCCCAGGACCTGAGCCCAGTTCTGGCTTCCTATGCACCAGGCAGCTCAGTCCCGCCTGGCTGTGAAGCTCTGTGGGTGTGTCCGAGCCACTCCCAGCCACTGCACAGCTTGGCATCCTTGCTCCCCAGCTCCAGGGCCTGCTACAGACAGCGGAAGACCAGAGGGGCAGAAAATAAGTGAGGCTGCAAAGGTAGACAGAGGGAAGCCTTACCCCCAGCAGCACAAGGAGGCGGAGGGCAGAGGCAGGTTCTGTCTTCCGATAGTGGAGCCGTTTATGCAGCCGTGTTTATCAGCAGTCACACAGCTGTTTAACAAAAAGAGCAGATGTTAGTGTTCATTTTTTAGAATGGATTTTAAAGGAGAATAGGCCCAGGTATTGCTCTGCTGTAGGGAAGAATCTAATCTAGGGGAGGTGGACAGGGCCGGAGGTTCTAAACATAAACACCAGTGCACATGCTGGTACATCCCTTTCCACCTGCGCCTTCACCTGACTTCCTTCCTTTAACACGAGTCCCTGGGCAGGGGCGTTGGCAGCTTCCAAACAGCCAGGGGAAGGCGGTGCTGGGCACCTGGCCCACATGGTGCCCAAGCCTCCGGCTATCAAGCTGTGACACTATGTCTCTTCCACAGGCTCCTGGAAGAGCTGCTGAACAAGTTCAAGTGCAGCATGCACCTGCAGCTCACCTGCTTCCAGGCCACCTCTGCAGCGCTGGTGAAGACGTGAGGTCGCGCGGGAAGGGCAGGCGTGGAGGCGGCGAGGGCGCGATGCTCGCCTTCCCGGGCTGCAAGGGCTTGGTGTGGAAAGCACTGGCTTTGCAGTCTCCCCCTCCCCCACTTGGAAGCATCATGGAAAGATGGTGGTTCGTGCTTTCATTCTAGCCAGAGTGACCCTCCGGGAAGTGCCGAGCAGAGCGGCATCTGCATGGCTGTTCAGCACACCTCTTACGCCGTTCTTTTCCCTTAGCTGTTACAGTGTGAATGTTAGGAAGCCCCCAGGACGAAGATGTTCACTCAGAGGCATCTCGCTGCAGAGTTGGGTGAGCTTAGCACTCTGTGTGCTGAGGACGAGAGGCACCCGGTTGTCACCCAGCAATGATGCCCTTCGAGTCCTCTGTTTCCACTGCTGAATGTACCGCCTTTATTATACTGGTGGTTTCAGGGCACGGTATTAACCCTACACGGTAGTCATTGTTTGGGACAGGGAAATGGAGTGTGTATTCGTTTGTAATGGGGACTGAAGGTTTACCTGTTTACAGACACGTTAGGTAAAGCCGTGAGAAGGGTGTGACCTCCTGTCTCGGAAGTGTGTTGGCCGTGATGTCTACCATGACCATGAACTAAGTGAGGAAACTACAGTCCTGAGTGTGTGTTATCTTAACTCATGTAGCACATTCAGCCAATAAAGAAACCATCTTTTGAAAGATACAATTCATTTGACTTTTTTCCCCAGTTAGTGTCTTTATTTCAGCATTTTCATTAACTGTGTAATGACTTACGTGTCTAGTTTCAATGCTTAAAATAAGTACTTGTGTTCTGGTTCATCCTGCACTTGTCATGCCGTTGTTGGAAAGCATTTATCAGTGCTGTGCTGATGCTGTCTCTTGGGTTTGCCATGTGCTGGGGACTGCGCTGAATGACTGCATTCTGACTTCAGCACGGCGTGGACAGCCTCGGCGAGCAGGGCGACCTCCTGTGCCTGACCAGCAGATGAGGCCTGGAAGATGCACATGGCTTCTCCAAGACTGCGGGGCTGGCGAGTGGCAGCTGAGCTCCACCTCCAGCTCCCTAACCTGCATGACACGCGTTTTCTCCCGCCCTTTCCCTGGGGACACGCAGCCCTGGGACAGCGTGCAAGTGCCCATGACTGAATTTTAACAGTGGGCATAAAAACCCCGTACCCAAATGAAGGGGCTCAGGACAACCGTTCCAACAAGTCATGGGGACTTCTTGGAAGAAAGGGGGATTTCAAGAGCTACTTGAATTGCAGAAGATGAGCTCAGTGGTTAGTAGGAGATGGAGGAAGCAGCCGCAAGTTAGCAGAAAGTAGTGAGGGGGCCAGGCAGGCAGCGAATTTCACTGAGGGGCGCCAGAGGGGCCCGGAGGCGCTGAGTCCAGCACGGGCAGCATGTGGCGCTGGACGGCGGGCGAGTTCTGTGCCGTTAGCCTGGCTCTCGGGGTTGGCGGAGCTGGCCGCCCTGTAAACTACCAGAGAATCTGGTTTCACGAACACTTTCTGTATCAGTGCACCATGGAAGTGGCCAATTCTAGAAATGATGTGGAAAGAAACCTCCCTGCTTAGGCACAGCTTACTGACTCATTCTCTGTCACCCTTGCATGCAGTTCTCGTCTTCAAAGTCGTTACTTTTTATTCCTGCATGTTTGCAACGTGTGCTGTTCACACTGGCTTGGGAAGTGGGGACACGTACACAGTACAGGTTAGTTCTCTAATCCCATCCCTTCGCTGCCGCCTCCCTCTCTCCTCTACATCGCCTTCCCCGTTTTCATTCTCACGGATACTGTTCTTACTCATGCTCGTGCCACATAATGTTCACATTCACTGAGGTGACTGGATTCCTGTCCGTGACAGATCGTTATTCTCGCATCCCCGCCAGCCACCCTTTGCCCTCAGTCTCCTTTCCCTTTGCAAGAGATCCATCCCCTTGTTTCCCCTGTCCACCCTTTATTCTGTATTATGCCCAGAAGGTACAAAAAAGAAGATTACATTTTAATGCTGGTTGTGGTACAGGGTGATGGTGTATTTTCCCCTTTGAATGTGTGCTGTGGGATATTCTGCCATTAGTTGCATAAGAATATTGTAATGTGTTTTCTGAAAAGTTATGCTAGTTTCAAGAATAGATTTCCAAAGTAGAGTAATTATATTACAATGATGATGCCTCAAATTTATTTTATATGCCAGAAATTATTATGCATAACCATAGACAGAAAGCAGCATCCATTTTTGCCGTTAAACATTAATCTTGTTAGTACTCCTGTAAAGATTTTCATGTGAATTTATGAACTGATCTCAAAATCCAAAGGAGATGTTGGATATGTAATGTCATACCTCAACTAAAGACGCAGCTGTAATGACTGTCGCATGATGTAAATGCTGGTTGTGTGAGGCCACCGTACATTTTGTGTGGTCTCATTTCTGTTCACCTAGAGTTTTTTGGGTTTTATTGTATGGATCACTAGAAAGCCTTTATCTGGCAAGATTATAAACACATTGCATGAATATCTTGTGACGAGGACCTGAGTGTTTGGGTTACTGCTGTCTGTCCGGCATTCCAGTGAAAGCCAGCAGGAAGTCAGAGCCAACTTAAGTCTCTGCACACAAAACATAAGTGGCCAGGCAAGGTGAGCTCCGGAGCCAGTCCTGGGCCTTCAGCAGCAGCTTTTTAACCATGATGGGTTCCCACTGATTTGTTTGTCGCTAATGTTGATATTGATGTGATTGTTATTATCTATTTGTATTTTTAAAAAATCTTGTTCCACCCACCTACAGTTTTTAGCAAGGTATAAATCCCTGAGCAACAAGACCACTTCCTCTGCCCAGCAGTCAAAGAGTCCCCAGAAGATCTCATTTTGAGAGCAAGGGACAGGCGGCTGTGGGATCCCAGAGAAGGGCAAGAATCACAGGGAGACTGGCAGCAAGGCTGAAGGGCCGAGCCCTGAGGAGCAGTCCTTGAACCCGCATGTAGGGAAACATGGTGTGTGCTAGCCCTCGCCTGGAATCCCAGCACTTGGGGAGAGCAGGCAGGAGGGCCACAGCAAGTTCAGGCCAGCGTGAACTGCATCATGAGACCCTGTCTCAAAAAGCCAAAAAAAAGAAAAGAAAAAATTGCAGGTGACTAGGTTCTATGTCACAGCAAGCTCATGAGAAAGCACCTTTGGCTGTGGATGTCCTGGCCTCGGGGCAGAAGCCAGCTCCTCCTAGAACCTCTTTGCTCGGCCATTGGACGCTTCTGTCACGTCTGTCACCTCTGTCACCTCCTGCTGCCCCTGCCCCTTTTCTGTCCCAGTCTTAACAGGTGTTTACCTCAGACTTGTACAGAGTCTCGCTTCAATGACGAGGGTGCGGATGAAGACGCCCTGTGACCTGGGCCGGGGGTCTGTGTGCCACATCCCTGTGCCCTGCCCTCCTGGCCGTACGAAGAAGTTTGCTGAGCCATAGCCAGCAGCCACCCAGCCACCATGGTGTGGGACTTGGGCTGTTGGGTGTCACTGCTGCTGTGACATTAGCACGTGTCAAACAATCTTTTCTTACATTAAGTAATTGGTCAAATAGTGTCACAGAGCTGGCTGTTGACAGTCCCTCAGTCCGTTCCTCCCCTTGCCTGCTGCTACAGCTGCCCACCAAAGTTCCATTAGCTGATCTCATTGCTGAGGGGTTCACTTCCATGTCTCTGCTTAATGGTTATGTTACTACGGCTGCATTCTGTGGTTTGGGATAGGGTGGTCTTCCTACAGTAGAACATGAGAGTTCAGCTCTCCTGCCCTGTTGCCTCTACACACAAGAGCACGCACGGATGCACACGTACTTCCCTTCCCTCCAAGGGGTTCATTTTGGTTAGACCAGTAGTCAGTGTCTAGATTATTAGGCCTGCGTGTGTGCTGTCAGTGCTAAGCCACACGCAGACGGGATGCACTTCCTGCTGTGCTCCTTGGACTTCCTGTGGCTTCCCTGTTGCCTTCAGGAGCACCAGGCTTGCTCCTTCTGAAGTGTGCCATGACCTTGAAATGTCTTCCAGCACAGGCACCCTTCGTCCGTGTCGACAGCGTCCCCCAGGTTTGCCAGCCCCTTGCAGTTTCGCCTGGGCTGTGCACTAGCGACCTCCTGTCACAAATGTCAGCCTGGAGTCCCCTGCTTCTCTGTGTCTCCTGTCCCTCCGCCTCCACCTGCGCCCCCTTCAACAGAGCCCAGCCTCTGGGGGCTTCTAGCTGTAGGATCTCTTGAGGCCCTGACGGTGCAAGGAATCCTCTCCAAAGCTCGGCTGGACGTGGGGTGCGAGCTCCACGCCACTTCCCATCAGGATTCAGCAGCCTCAGCACCGCTGCCCACCACCTCCACCACCTCCCACCTCCCTCTGCTCTGAGAACCTTTGCCGTTCGCTTGGTTTGCAGCAGTTCCTGGTCTCCTGGACGGTGCCTTTTGTTCCTGGCAGTGAGTCCAATATCCAGATTCTGGGAAATGTTCTTCAGTTATTTCTTTGAATGCTCTATGCCCCTGATTTTGGGTTGTTTTGTTTTGTTTTTCTTAGTATTTGGACCTCTTGTCCTAGTCTTAACAAATCTTTTTAGTCTTTTCCTTCTTGTCTTCTGTCTGTGTATTTGTGAGAAATGTTTTCATATTTACCTTTCAGTTTTTGTATTGAGTTTTTAGTTACTGCTATTTATAAAAAGGCTTACCTTCTCTGAATGTTCCTTTTTATAGAGTCCTATTTACTACTTCTCTGGGAATAACATTCTACTAGAAATTTGTTGTTTGTGCATCGTCTCTGGTTTGTGTCATCCTTCTGTTGTCCACGTTGGACTAAATGCCATAGCTTACTTCACATTTGTGGTGCACTTGGGTGTGTGCTCACAGCTAACAGTAGCACACCCACGGCTGACTGGGATCTCGAGCCCTGTGCAGGCCGAGGGTCTCGTCAGTTAGGTGCCTTAGGTGTTCAGTACTCTGTGTTACTCTGTCCAGGTCATTGCTGCAGGAGTGGTCCAGCTTTCCAGAGAAGCCTCTTCTAGTGCCATGCCGAGAGGGTATGAGCATCTCTCAGCTCCGGTGGATGTGGGTGGAAGGAGGAGGCTTAGCAGTCAGAGCCCTGCTGTCTACTGGATCTAGATGCCTTGGCCTCCCCGAGAACAGAGCTTTCGTTCCCGTAGGGAGAGAAGCTTATGGAGGTTTCTCAGCTCTGTGCAAGGAAAAGGGGACCTGCGGCCACTCGCCGCCATGCATCACACACCCTCAGGCTCGTCCTTTATCTCTGCTTCCACAGGGTCCTGGGCCACAGATCCCTACACCTTCTAGGGACTTCGCAGTGTAGGCTTCAAATTTTTCATCTTTGTTTTCAGGACTGCCAGTTTGAGATCTCACTTTAAGGCGTGATCTGCTGAATCAGTTTCTACCCCATGGGCTCCTCAGCTTTTGTTCTCATCTAGCTATTATTTCCTCACCTATTTCCTTTGTCTTTGTGGAATACACACACACACACACACACACCTATATACACACACAGTAAATACAGTTGAGTGTATATGTATATATATATATAAAATATGCATTATACACATAACGTGTATGTTACATACAGTGTGTGTAGTATGTGCATAGACATTGAGAATGTACTATACACACACACACACACACACGCACCACCATCACCACCACACCCTGCACTGTCATTTTTGTACAGCTTTGATAGCGCTAAGATTAATGTGTGGTTTTAATCTGCCATCTGTAGCTGAACCTTAAACTTCCATTTTATTTGCTCTGACCATAGCGCCAGAGCGTTCACACGCATACAGTCCCGAGGTTGGAGAATGA